CTAACACCTGTTGCCAATCTTCTTCTTTTTGCTTGAGGAATGGCCCTGAGCTAACATCTGTGCCCATCTTCCTCTGTTTTGTATTTGGGTCACCACCACAGCATGGCTTGATGAGTGGTGTAGGTCCTTACCTAGGATCTAAACCTGTGAACCCGGGCCACCAAAGCAGAGTGCGCACTTAACCACCACGCCACCGGGCCAGCCCCTGTAGTCTCTTTATCTTAAAGAGAGAGAAGAAAAATAAGACTAGTGATTGTCACAGCTCTGGAAATTTGGCCTAACTTTAATAATAATGACACTATTGATTGAGAGTTTATCATGTACCAGACACCATACTGGGCACTTACATTATATGCTGCCCTCACAAAGCAATTTGAAATAATAATAGATCTCACTTCCCAGAAAAATATGGAAAATCATTATACTTTGTGATCGTCTCTTGCTAGGCACTCTCCCTTTCAGTTTATGGATTTCTAGATAAAGAAACTCAGTAAGAACTAATGGGAAGAACAGAGATAACCAAGACTAATAAGAGATTTTAGAAATTTGAAAATAATAGAAATACCAATAAAAACAAAGCAGGCTTACCACAGCGACATAAATGATAGTACCAAAAGGAACTCATCAAGATCCAAGTATCCTAACACTTAGTATGTTGTTTATTACTTTTCTCCAATAATTTTTCTTAGACTTAAATATAATTGGAAAGTATTTAATCAAAGAAATTTAAATTTAACAAAGCAACTTAATTTCCCAAAGAATAAATATAAGCTAGAATCTTTTGAATATTAATGGAGCCTAGCGAGCATTCTCATATGTAAATTCAAAATATTCTTATGTTCTAATACAAGTCCCAAAAGCTTTAATAAACTTTAATAAACCAATTTAACCATTAAATGTCTTAGGAAAACAAGGTTTATAAAATCAGAGGTTGTTTAGCTCATATAGTTGTCCTTATATATTTAATGTTGAAATAAAGAAAAACTGCAAATATTTTGAAATTATTAACTTCAGAAAAGCAGTTTTTCTCCCAGTTTTTAATGTGATTATGTGACCTTGCTATGTGAATAAAAGAATGAGAAAATGATATAAACTGAGTTCAGTCATTCAATGTCAAACAAATATTTATTGAGCACCTACTGTGTACCAAGTACTGTTTGAGGCGTTTGGGATACATTAAAGAAAAAAAAAAAAAGGTCCCTGCCCTCTTGGAACCTACATTTTCACAGGGGAAATGGACAATAAACATTATAAGTAAGTGAACTTATATACAGATCTTCCTCAACTTACATTGGGGTTATGTCCCAATAAACCCATCCTAAGTTGAAAATATCATAAGTCAAAAATGCGTTTAATACACCTAATCTACCGAACATGATAGTTTAGCCTAGCCTACCTTAACCATGATAAACGTGCTCAGAATACTTACATTAGCCTACAGTTGGGCAAAATCATCTCACATGAAGCCTATTTTATAATAAAATATTGAATAGCTCATGTAATTGATTGACTACTGTACTGAAAGTGAAAAACAGAATGGTTGTGAGTGTATCGGTTGTTCACCCTCATGATCCTGTGGCCCACTGGGTGCTGCAGCTCCCTGCCCAGCATCACGAGAGAAAGAGAGAGGATTGTACTGTGTACCGCTATCCTGGGGAAAGATCAAAGTTCAGAATTCGAAGTATGGTTTCTACTGAATGCCTATGGCTTTTGCACCATCGTAAAGTTGAAAAATCTTTAGGGATGTATTATATCAGGAAATAATAAGGACTATGAAAAACAATGGAGCATTGAGAAGAGGGGTTGGAAGGGATAATCAGGCTGCAATTTTAAATCAAGAGGTCAGGGTAGGCCCTCACTGAGAGGATGACATTTAAACAAAGACTTGAAGGAGATAAGTAAGGTTGGTCAAGAGGATATCTGGAGGAAGAACCCTCCAAGAGAAAGGAACAGCCAGTGCAAAAGGTCTCAAGGAGTGTGCCTAGAGATTTGAGGAAGAGCAAAGAGACCAGTGTGGCCGGAGAGTTGTGAGCAAGGGAGAGAATATTAGACATGTGTGAGGGTAGACAGGTAACAGGTAGCTGGGATCCAGATTCTGTAAGGACTTTGGGCTTTATTCTGGAGTGAGATGGGGTGCCATTGTACAGTTTTCAGTAGAGGAGTGACATGACTAACTTGTGATTTAAAGGAGTCAGTTGGGCTAGTGTTGATAATTGACTGTAGGAGGGCAAGGGCAGAAACAGACTATTTAAGAGGCTATTGCAATAATCCAGGCAAGAGATATTGGTGGTTCAGACCAGAGTGACAGTAGTGAGAAGTGGTTACATTCAGGGCTCATTTTGAAAGCAGAGCCCCCAGGATTTCCTGACAGTTTGGATGTGGGATGTATGAGAAAGAGGGGAGTCAAGAATGACCACAAGGTGATTTGCATGACCAATTGGAAGGGGTTGGGATTTCCCTCAACTGAGATGAGGAAGGCTGCAGGTGGAGCTGGTGTGGGAGATGGAGGCATGTGAGAAGATCAGTTTTGGACAAGTTAACTTTGAGATGTCAGACAGGCACTTGGACTGGAGCTGTAAACTGGGAAGTCATTAGCCTGTAAATGATAGTAAACCTACACCCGTGAAACTGGACAGAAGTTGCCTGGTAATTGGGCATCAACAAGGCAGGAAGGTAGCTGAAAACTAACTTTACCTATCTCACAACTTTGATGGCATCAGTATTGCTGATAGCCCAGTTCTTCTGACCCAATTAAGGACCAAAACCAATTATTCTCAGCGTTTTTGGCCTAAGTAATATACCTTACGTGAAGTAGTAAGCATTCAAAAAAACATTTCTTTTCCTTTCATGCATCTCATCATTTAAAAGTCAAGGCAGCTTAAATGGAGGATGTTTGCATTTAGCCTCTTCACTCTTCAGTAGTCTTGATACAAGAAAATTATGAATGAATTACATTCACCTGTTTTACTAGAAAAAGACAAGTAATTGATTACTAAAGCATAAGGCAAAATATAGGGTAATATTAAGCTGAATGTGATAGTTACAGAGAAAAAAAATTCAAACGATAAAAACAGAAAACCAACCTATATTCCCTAGAGTACTGAGAAGCAATGTCACCAGTGGTTCCTGTACCTTGGGGCACATTGGAATTACCTGGGCATTGTTTTAAAATACTGACATTTGGCTCCTACTCCCAGACTTTCTGATTTGTTTAGTATGGGATGCAACCTGGGCATCAAGAGTTTTAGAATCTCTCCAGGTGGGCCTGGTGCGCGGCAAAGTTTGAGAGCTAATGTGATGTACACTATTTTTTTCTAATGGAACTATCACTAATAATCACAGTATTCAACTTCTGTTCCATAATTTTTCTTATTCTTTGATAGTGCCAAAAATGGAAGCAGTGTTAACAAAAGATTCTCTTGGGGCCAGCATGGCAGCATAGTGGTTAAGTTCCACACACTCTGCTTCAGCGGCCCGGGTTTGTGGGTTTGGATCCCAGGCACGGACCTACACCACTCATCAAGCCATGCTGTGGTGGCAACCCACATACAAAGTAGAGGAAGCTGGGCACAGATGTTAGCTCAGGGCCACTCTTCCTCAAGCAAAAAAGAGGACGATTGGCAACAGATGTTAGCTCAGGACCAATCTTCCTCAGCAAAAAAAAAAAAAAAAGGTTCTCTTGAGGGAATTATGCTAAGTAAAATAAGTCAGAAAGAGAAAGATAAATATTGTATGATCTCACTTATATGTGGAATCTAACAAAAAAACAAATTCATAGATAAAGAGAATAGATTGGTGGTTGTGGAATGGAGGGGGTACAGAATGGGTGAAGGGGGTCAAAAGGTACCAACTTCCAGTTATAAAATAAATAAGTCATGGGGATGTAATGTACAGCATGGTGACTATAGTTAAGAGAGTAGAATTTAAAAGTTCTCATCACAAGAAAAAAGAATTTGTAACTATGTGTGGTGATGGATGTTACCTAGAAAACAAACAAGCAAAAAGTTCCTCAAGGCAGAGTAAATGAGCTCTAAATCATGCAAATAAGAAATCACTGTCGTAATTTGTTGTAGATTTATAGCAGCTGTTCACCTGGCCATTTATTTATAGCGTAAGTGAACCCCAAATTGGAGGCAGCTGTGATGTATGGTAGCTGCAACAGACTTGAAGTGAGAAGACTTGGATTCCAATCCCAGTTCTTTCACTTATTAGCAGACTTACAAAAGGTAATTCATTTAACCTTCCTGAAATTCCGATTTCTTTCTCCCTAACATGAGAATAACCAAAGCAATTTTGTATGGTTGTTATAAATATTTTTAAAAGCTAATGTATATGAAGGTAAATTATGAATAACTATATAAAGGTATTAAAGAATTATTATTTGAAAGGATTTTTCTTAACCTTAGAAGTGACAACGTTGTAAAATGCAGTAATTTCCTGGAAGTGAATAGATTATTATTTTTTTCCGTATTTTTTTCACTGCCTTAAGAATGGAGCTCTGCATACAGTAGGTAATAAATGCTATTGAACTTAGCATGTTTAGTAGAGGGAGTGTTATTTTGTATTTATTTCCTATACAGTGTATTAATATGAGAAAAACATAAACTTTGGACTCAGACCTGGGTTTCAACACAGATGGTGTCACTTATTAGCAAATTTGTGTCAGTAGACATGTACTAAGTCTCAAGTGTCTTTCTCTTTATATAGGGGATAGTAATGGATCCCTTCCAGGGCTGTTGTGTGAGTTTCAAGTGTAGAGCACCAGGCATAATGGCGGGCACAGAGCTGGCTGGAAAGGTTCATTCCCTTCTTCCCTCCAGGAGTACAGTATTCTTGGGATAGTAATTGTACAGTCTGAGTAATAATAATTTCTCAATAGCTAAAAATTCTTAACGGTTATTTTTTGTTTTGCTGATTTCTATATCATTTTAACTTGTGTGTCCACCTCCCCCCACCATGAACGCTTTGAAAAGCAGTGTTTATTTTGCATGCTTTTTCAGATAATAAAAAAAGCCATTTTAGCTTGGCTTACATCATGGAAAGCACAAAGGAGAAGAATGACAATTACAAAGATGATCTTCTGCTTAGGATGGGACTTAATGATAATAAAGCAGGAATGGAAGGATTGGATAAAGACAAAATTAACAAAATTATCATGGAAGCCACAAAGGTATGTTTCTTGTTTCTTTCAGTATCTTTAGTTTACTAACTTTTTAACTTTCTGTTTAAAAGAAAAATCAGTAAGTTTTGAATATCCTTTTTATTATAATTTTTAATATTTTAATATATAATATTGTTAAACTCAAATGGGTATGGAACAATCTTCCTTCTGTTCTGTTGCTCTTGCCATCCAGTTTTCTACCTCACATGCACATAATATGCATGTAGAAGCAAAATAACATACATGTTCTTTTTCTCCCTTTTTCAACTCCAGTAGGAGAATACTGTAATCGTTGTATTTTTTGTTTTCATTTCAGTTAGTATAACTTGGAAATCTTTCTGTATAAGTAATTAAAGATGTTCTTTATTCTTTTTTATGCCTGCATGTATGAATATAATTTATTGAACCTGTCAGAATCTTTATTGATGGACATATAAGTCATTTCTAGTCTTTTATTTTTACAAACAATCCTACACTGAATAACCTTGTATTTCATAACTTTACATCTGTGCAGGTATAACTTTAGGAGAGATTCCTAGAAGTGGAATAATTGTTATGAATTGCTCAATCACCCTCCATAGTGGTTGTATCAACTCACACTTCCACTGCCAATATATGAGAGTATGTATTACCATGCTGCAACTGCGCCAACACAGTGTGTTACTAAACTTTTGGATTTGCCAATCTACAGTAATGTAGTGTAGCATTAACTTGTATTTTGCTTATGAAAAGTGAGATTGTGCATCTTTTCATATGTTTAAAGGCCACTTTTATTTCTTTATGTACAAACTCTCTTCTTCTTATTTACACAATTTTCCAGTGGATTATTGTTTATCTTTTGACTTTGCTTATGATAGTTTCTTCTGTGCAGAGGTTTTTATTTGTTTCTTTTTATGTACTTGAATTAGGCGACTACATACGGCTTTCTCCAAGGTCATAAAAGAATTCTTTAATGGTTTTTTCTGACCACTTTTTGGGTTTCATTTATATATTATAAAATATCCATGCAGAAAAGTGTAAAATTTCAGAGAATATCCTTATTCTTAGGAAATACATGCTGATATCCACAACTTACTTTGAAATGTTTTAGCCAAAAAACGGGGAAAGTCTGTGTGTGTGTGTGTGTGTGTGTGGGCGCGGGCACGTGTGTGCACGTATGCACGTGTGTAGGAATTGGGTGTGTGTGTGTGTGTGTGTGTACATATATAGGAGTTGGGGGAGAAACCAAATGTAGCAGAATATTAACCATTGGTAAATCTAGGTGAGGACCTATAGGTGTTCATTGCGCTGTTCTTTCAACTTTTGAAGATTTGCAAATTCCAAAATTAAAAATTGAGGGAAAAATAATTTCTTAAGTATATAAAGTGTAGATACAATTTTAAAAGTAAAAGAGAATTAAGAGAGAAAATAAGCAAATATAACATACGGACCCTGATTAGATCCTGGTTTAAACAAATGCATTTGGAACGTTTAGGGGAGTTTGAATATGGAGAGGGTACTAGATAATATTAAGGTATTATTGTTAATTTTATTAGCTGTGAAAATGTTATTATCATTACATGGGAAAATGGCCTTATTTTTAAAGATGTGTACTAAAATACTCTATGGAATACTAAATGTCATTGTATCTGTAGTTTACTTTAAAACAGTTCACTTAAAAAATCAGAGAAGGAAATATGGCAAAATGTTAACAGTTGTTAAATCTCAGTGATAGTTGTATATATGTGTTCATTGTACTAATCTCTCTATTTTTATGAGACTTCATCAAAATTTTAAAAAACAAAGGTAATCCTATGAGCCTAGTTTGCAGGTTAAGAAATAGAATATTTAAGTTACCCTAGATGTCCCTATCTTCCCTCTCTCTTCTCTGTGTCCCAGTACCATTTATTAAATAGTCCATCCTTTTCCTACTGATCTGCAGTGCTTTCTTCTGTTCCACTGGATTGTTTGTCTGTTCTTGTACCTATACGCATGATCTTAATTAATATTAAGTCTTGATGCCTGCTAGAACAAGTTCTTTTTTTGCTCTTTGTTCTTTTTCTTTTTTTTTTTTTTTGTGAGGAAGATCAGCCCTGAGCTAACATCCGATGCCAAGCCTCCTCTTTTTTTTTTTTTTTTTTTTTGTTGCTGAGGAAGATTGGCCCTGGGCTAACATCCGTGTCCATCTTCCTCTACTTTATATGGGATGCCACCACAGCATGCCTTGACAAGAGGTGCATCGGTGCACACCCAGGATCTAAATCGGCGAACCCAGGCTGCCAAAGCGGAGCATGTGCACTTAACTGCTGCACTACCTGGCCAGCCCCGTTCTTTGTTCTTTTTCAAGAGTATCTTGGGTATTCTTGAACTTTTGCTTTTCTTTATCAATTTTATATGATATGATATATATATTAATCATAGGAAAAATATGTATCCATATATCATATAATTGATATATATCGTGTGTATATCAATCATAAAATATATACCTCATATATTTTATATATTAAAATATTCATATTTTTCATATAATATATTCCTCTAATGGGGGGGCTTTATCATAAATATCTTTCTTTGTGTGTGTATGTGAGGAAGATCAGCCCTGAGCTAACATCCATGCCAATCCTCCTCTTTTTTTGCTGAGGAAGACTGGCCCTGGGCTAACATCCATGCCCATCTTCCTCCATTTTATATGGGATGCCGCCACAGCATGGCCTGACAAGCAGTGCATCGGTGCGCACCCGGGATCCAAACCCGGGCCGCCAGCAGCAGAGCGCACGCACTTAACTGCTACACCACGGGGCCGGCCCCAAATGATATCTTTTTTAAATTGAAATTTTCTAATTGTTGCTGCTCCATTTAATGCAATTTACTTTTTTAAAACTTTTCTCAGAAAATTTTAAGCATACGCAAAATTAGAGAGAATAGTAAAGTGAATCCTCGGATAATCGTCATCCAACATCAGTAGTTATCAACATTTTTGCAAATATTCTTTCATCTGTTTAACTTATCTCTCCCTACTAAATTTTGGAGGAGGGGCGTGGAGTATTTTAAAAGAAATCCCAATAAACAGAACAAATTTCTAGAAATTCACAGTTTTCCAAAACTGATTGAAGACAGTATAGAGAATCTAAATACACCTATAACAAGAAAAGAAATTAAATTAGTAACTAAAAATCTCCCCCCCACACACACACACACAAAAAGAACAGTTCAAGATGGCTTCACTGGTGAATTTTTTTTTTTATAATTTTATTTATTTATTTTTTCCCCCAAAGCCCCAATAGATAGTTGTATGTCATAGCTGCACATCCGTCTAGTTGCTGTATGTGGGACGCTTATCTGACATTTAAAGAAGAAATAATACCAATACTCCATAAGCTCTTCTAGAAAATAAAGAAGGATGGAACACTTCACAACTCATTCTATAAGGCCAGTATCATCTTGATACCAAAACCAGACAAGCATAAGATTATAGATCATTATAAATGTAAAAGTCCTCCACAAAATATTAGCAAACCTAATCCAACAATATATAAAAAAGATTATGTACCATGATCAAGTGGGATTTATCTTAGGAATGCAAGGTAGTTTAGCGTCCAAAAATCAATTAATGTAATACACCACATTAATAAAATAAAGGGCAAAAAAACACATTGTCATCTCAATAGATGCAGGAAAAGCACCTACAGGCATTCATGCTAAAAGTTCTTAACAAACTTGAAATAGAAGGGAACTTTTGCAACCCAATAAAGAGTGTCTATAAAAACCTATAGTAATCATCATACTTTATGGTGGAAGACTAAATGCTTTCCCCCGAAAATCAAACAAGGCAAGGATGTCCACTCTCACATCTTCGATTCAACATACTCCTGAAAGTTCTAGCCAGTGCAGTCAGGCAATAAAAAGAAGTAAAAGGCATCTAGATTGGAATGGAAGAACTAAAACTGTCTCTCTGCAGATGTCATGAATGTAGAAAATCTTAAGGCATTTCAAAAGAAGTGCAACACTTGTGTCCTGAAAATTACAAAACTTTGCTGTGGGAAATTAAAGATCCAAAAAATGGAGAGACATTCTGTGTTCAAGGATGAGAAGACTCAATATTGTTAAGAAGGCACTTCTCCCCAAAGTGATCTATAGATTCAACGTAATCCCTCATCAAAATTCCAGGGGCTTTTTTTTAATGCAGAAATTGACAAGCAGATCCTAAAGTTTATATGAAAGGCAAAACACCTAAAATAGCCAAAACAGTTTTGAAAAGGAACAAACATAGAGGTCTTTGACTTTTCTATTTAAAACTTACTATCAAGCTACACTTATCAAGACAGTCTGGTACTGCCATAAGGCTAGGCATATAGAACAATGAAGCAGAATTAAGAGTCCAGAAATAAATCTTTATATTTATAGTGTATTGATTCCCCCCCCCCCCAAAGCCCCAGTAGATAGTTGTATGTCATAGGTGCACATCCTTCCAGCTGCTGTACGTGGGACGCGGCCTCAGCATGGCCTGAGAAGCGGTGTGGCGGCGCGCGCCGGGATCCGAACCCAGGTCGCCAGCAGCGGAGCGCTCGCACTTAACCGCCCCGCCACGGGGCCAGCCCTAGTGTATTGATTTTTGAAAAAAGTACCAAGGCAAAAGGATAGTCTGTTCAGCAAATAATGCTGGGACAACTGGATATCCACATGCAAAAAAGAGGAACTTAGACCCTCACCTCACGCCATACACAAAAATTAAGTCAAAATAGACTGAGATGTAAGAGCTAAAGCAATAAAACTTAGAAGTTAGGAGAAAATCTTTGAGACCTTTGGTTAGGCAAACATTTCTTAGATACAACACCAAAAGCACAGTCAATAAAAGAAAATGTTGACAAATCAGACCTCATGAATTTCAAAACATTTGCACTTCAAAAGACACCATTAAAAAATAAAAAGATAAGCAACATACTGGGGTAAATATTTGCAAAACGCTCATCTGGTAAAGGACTTACATCCTGAATATACAAAGAATTCTTACAACTCATTAATAAGAAGACAAACAACCCAGTCAAAAAATGGGCAAAAGATATCAATAGACATTTCACTAAAGAAGATATAAGAATGGCTCATAAGCACATGATAAGATGTTCAACATCATTAGTCATTGGAGAAATGCAAATTAAAACCACAGTGAAATGCCATTCACACTATTATAGCCTAGAATGGCTATAATAAATAAGACAGGCAATAACAAATGTTGGCAAGGATGTGGAGAAATTGGAACCTTCATACATTGCTGATGGGATTGTAAAATGGTTCAGCCACTTTGGAAAACAGTCTGGCAGTTCCTCAAAAGGTTTAGCATGGAGTTACCACATGACACAGAGATTCTACTCCTAGGTACATACCCAAGGAAAATGAAAACATGTCCACACAAAAACGTGTACGTAAATGTTCATTGCAGCATTTTTCATAATAGCCAAAAAGTAGAAATAATCTAAATGCCCATCAACTTGATGAATGGATAGATATTATGTTCAGTGATGGGATGATGGGTAATTTTCTAAAAGTTAATTTCTACATTTTCTTTAATGACTAACATTAAATTTTTAAAAATACTTTTTAAGTAAAAATGAAGGAGATAACCGATAACCCAACTGACTAAGGCCTTGCATATACCCCATGGATCCTGCCTAGGACACATTATTTTCTGAGTGCAGATCTGCACTCATTCAGAGACTTTGTACTGTGCTAAGTACAACAATTCTATGATGTAGGTGACTATAAATTCATTTTACAGATAAGGAAACTGAGACATAGAAAGATGAGGTAATTTTAGAGTCACCCATTAGTAAGTAGTGCAACTAAGTTTTGAATTCAATCATTCTGATTCTAGAGTCTGTACTCTTAGTCACCAGGTTATACTAAGTGATGCTTTCCTTATGCTATGTTTTGTTTTCCTGCATAGGGGTCCAGATTTTATGGAAATGAACTCAAGAAAGAAAAGCAGGTCAACCAAAGGATTGAAAATATGATGCAACAAAAAGCTCAGATTACCAGCCAGCAGCTAAGGAAAGCACAATTACAGGTATTAATTCAAATTGCTAAGTAAAGTGGAAGCTGGCAGAATAGTAATTGACAGTTAAAATGCATCATGGTCAAGTCATAATTGAAAACAAAGTAAAAGGTAAATGTTCCTTATTTTGTAAAGCATAAAAATTTAACAAATGCACATACTTTACTTTGTTAAACATTGGTCTACTCTTTTACATGAAGACTCCACACCTAGATGTTGTCACCTCCATTATACAGAAAAGTAAATGAAGGCTGAATTAGGTTAAGTAACTTGCCTGGCTTCATATGACAGGTAGTTGGCAGAGCTAGGATTTAATCCAAACTTACGTTCTTTTTATTATATATATACTTTGCAGCTAGAAAAGGCCACAAGATAAATGTGGCATGTTTCTGCAACGCTGATTTTGCCAAAAAGATTTGGGGGAACATGTTAACTAATTAAATTAGAAAGTACATAATTTAAAATACAATTGTGTTATAGTAAAACAAAAAGTCACATATAGGGTAGAATGCCAAATGTGCATGAATGTTTAAGATAAAACAGAAGACTTCTAAAAATTGGGGGGCTTTTGGCTTCTCCAGCATCTTCAGGGAGTAAATACTCAGAGTTTCTTCTGGTATTAAAAGTTATTTCAGGAGAAAAGTTGGAGCAGAGCCAAGCTACAGGGTATCATTTGGTAGATAGAGAACTTAAAGCAGTCAAGGTTCTGCTAGTAAAACTAAGGGTTACTTTTTTGTGTGTGTGTGAGGAAGATCAGCCCTGAGCTAACATCCGATGCCAATCCTCCTCTTTTTGCTGAGGAAGATTGGCCCTGGGCTAACATCCGTGCCCATCTTCCTCTATTTTATATGGGACGCCGCCACAGCATGGCTTGACAAGTGGTGCGTCGGTGTGCACCCGGCATCCGGACCTGTGAACCCTGGGTCTGCCGAAGTGGAGGGCGCACTTAACTGCTGCACCACCAGGCCGGCCCCAAAGTTTACTTTTAAAGACAGCTTTACCCTCTATCGAAACCTGATTCAATTTAACAAAGCACTTTAGGCTATAACATAATGATAAAATTATAATATTAATCTACTGTTACAAAAGTCTTCTCGTGATAGTTTAGAGATTATAAATTTTATGTTTTCTTTACCAAACTATAATGTGTCATTTTGTTTGATAAATGCTGTCCTAGAGTGCAAGCTAATTTTTTATTTTCTGTGTTAAGTGGTCTGCTATCATGACAAGATGATTTTGTCTCTCAAATCGTCTTTTTTAATGCTTCATAGCATTCCACTGTGTGGAGGTCTGTACCACAACTTATTTACCTTCTCCCACCTTGGTTCCAGTTTTTTTTATACACAATCTTGTGATGATCATTCTTATTCACATGTCTTTTCACTCTTGTCCTGTTATTTTCACCAAAGATTATACCATTTTACATTTTCAAGATAAGAATGTTGGTTATCTCGCTTACTTGTTTAAAACTAGGTTTTATCAGTCTTTTAAGTTTTTGCTGATACAGTGTCCAAAATATTATTTCATGGTTGTTTTAATTTGCCCTCCTTTGATTATGACAGAGAGAACGTCTTTTCATTTATTTGCCATTAATATTTCCTTCTTGTGGAAATTTCCTCTTTTATTCTTTGTTAGGATACAGGCTAAGTAGCTGGCACAAGAGACTCAAAAATATAATGGTCCAAATAAGATAAGCGTTTCTTTCTCTCTCACATAACAGGCAAGTGGTTGTAGCTGGTCAGGTGGTTCTGCTCACCATAGTAATTTGAAGACCCAGGTTCTACATCATGTTGTTCCATCGTCCCCTAGTGTTATCCTTACTTGGATTGACAAAACTGGATTACCTCCAGTCAATATTCTAGCCCCTAGTAAGGAAGAAGGAACAAAGAAAAAAATCGAAGGCAAGTAATTTGCTATTAAAGAAGTGAAAAAGAAGTTGCACCGTTACTTCAGCTCACATTCTTTTGGCCAGAATTTAAGTTTCATGGCCACACCTAACTGCAAGAGAAGCTGTAAAATATATTCTCTAGCTGGGTGGCCATGTGCCCAGCTAAAAATCTATTACTATGGAAGGAAGAAAGAATGGATTTAGGGGTTCAACTAGCAGTCCAAAGCAATAAATATCCTTTGCCCACATTTCTAGAGGAGTCTGTATCTTTTTCTCTTGATTTATACATCTTATCATATATTAAGGATATTTTTTCTCTGCCATTTATTGTAAATATTTTTACAATATATTGTCTTTTGATTTTGCAGGGGTGTTTTCCTATACAGTTTTAAATGTTTGTGTAATCAAATTCAGCAGTATTAAAAAAAATTTTTTTCTTGGCTTTGCTGTTGTGCATAGAAAGTTATTCCTCACAACCAAGCCTAAATGTTCTTTTAGTATTTTTATAGATTTTGTTATATTCAAATCTGTAGTCCATTTGGAATTTTCTTGATGTAAGGTATGATGTGTTTTTTTTCTTAAATTGTATTATATTTTCCCTAAATGGTATTGTTTTTGCTAAGTTGTGATTCTCTTGTCCCAACACCATTTATTGAATCATGAGTCCTTTCTCCACTGAATAGAAATGAGGCACTTCCATATACTAAATTCTCATTGTACTTGGATTTGTTTCTACACTGTCTCTTCTAATCAATTGAATCTTTTCCTGTATCAGTACTATGCAATTTTAATTATTGAATGATAATAATATAGTTTAATATCCTCCCTCATTACTCTTCTTTAAAAAGAATTTTTTTTCTTATGCATTGTTTCTTTCAAATAAATTTAAGCATCATTTCAGCAAGTTAAAAAAACTTCCCTTCTGGGGGCCGGCCTGGTGGCATAGTGGTTAAGTTTGTACGCTCCGCTTTGGCGGCCCAGGGTTCGCTGGTTCAGATCCCAGGGGCAGACCTACGCACTGCTTGTCAAGCCATGCTCTGGAGGCGTCCCATATATAAAATAGAGGAGGATGGGCACGGATGTTAGCTCAGGGCTAATCTTCCTCAGCAAAAAGAAGAAGATTGGCAACGGATGTTAGCTCAGGGTTAATCTTCCTCACCAAAAAAAAAAAAAATTCCATTCTGTCCACAATAACGTTGTTTTTAAATTGATTTAATCTTTAGGCAATTTACTTTCTGGACCTCTTTTTGGTAAATTTTATTGATCTATAGTCTATAAATATCTTTAATAAAGTTTTAAAGCTATAGGACGTATGAACAATATACGACATAACTTTTTGCTGTTCATACTACTTATTTTTAAAGCTCATATCCTTAAATATGCTAATAATCTGAAGGAATAGAAAATACCTTACATTGTGTAGCAGAACTTCATATTTTGTTAGTTTTAGTTGACTATTTCATGGGAGGCTCTCTGGCATCTTTTGCAAGGGGAATGGGAGGAAATGTGTTTTATGTTGATTGTTAAATTGTTTCATTTGTTGAGCTTCCTTTAAAAGAAATTATATAAATGGGAGGGGATTGAGGAAGTCCTAAGGAGTGTAGAATATCTGAGAAAACAGCTTTTCACGGGAAATGTGTTTCTATTTTAGAGTCATAAAATTTTCAAATAGTAGATTTTATTATTATGATAAGATGGTATGAACTATTGCTAGTCAAGCTGAGGTAAGTAACCTATGTAGGCATGAACTCCCATGATGTTTATTCAGAACTTCACCAAGTAGTATTCACCACCCCATCCCTCCTCATTAGACTCGTTAAAGGCACAATCATTTCTGCAGCTGCCAAAACGTCTTGTTATTATATGAGTTCACAAATTGAACGGACAAACATCCATGTTATATTAAATGGCTCCTACACAGACAATCAGTGCATTTCGACCATTTTAACAATTGATTTTATGAACTTAGATTTACTCAGCAATTTTTAGGGTAATGCTAAGTCAAGAAAATGAAAAACAGTATTTCTGAAATAGTCTCCTAAAAAGTAATCGAAAAAGGGGATTTTTAAAAATAAGACATAATGTGGATATAAAATACACCATTTGAGTCTGGTTTGAGCTTATTTCAATGTTAAAGACTTTTTAGGGGCTGGCCCCGTGGCTTAGCGGTTAAGTCCGCACGCACCACTACTGGCGGCCTGGGTTCGGATCCGGGTGCGCACCGACGCACTGCTTGTCTGGCCATGCTGAGGCAGCGTCCCACATACAGCAACTAGAAGGATGTGCAACTATGACATACAACTACCTACTGGGGCTTTGGGGAGAAAAAGGGAAAAAAAAAATAGGAGGAGGATTGGCAATAGATGTTAGCTCAGGGCCAGTCTTCCTCAGCAAAAAGAGGAGGATTGGCATGGATGTTAGCTCAGGGCTGATCTTCCCCACACACACACACACACACACACAAACAAAGACTCTTTAAAATCCATTTTAGGGAAGCATCATAAGATAATGGAAAGAGCACAGGCTTTGGAGTAACCTGGTTTCAAGGCTAGTTCTAACATTAACAGCTGTATGATTTAGGACAAATTACTTTTTTTTTTTTTGTGAGGAAGATCAGCCCTCAGCTAACATCCATGCTAATCCTCCTCTTTTTTTTTTTTTTTTTTTTTTGCTGAGGAAGACATCTGAGCTAACATCTATTGCCAATCCTGCCTCCTTTTTTTTTGTCCCCAAAGCCCCAGTAGATAGTTGTATGTTGTAGTTGCACATCTTTCTAGTTGCTGTATGTGGGACGCAGCCTCAGCATGGCCGGACAAGCGGTGTGTCGGTGCGCGCCCGGGATCCAAACCTGGGCCGCCAGTAGCGGAGTGCACGCACTTAACCGCTAAGCTGCGGGGCCAGCCCTAGGGCAAATTACTTAATCTTACTGAACTTTAGTTTCCTCATCTATAAAATGGGAATAATAATTATTATCTCAGAATTATTTTGACCATTAAATGAGTTAACATAGGAAGCACTTAGCATATTATATGACACATATATGTACTCTACTTTTGTAATGTCACTTGTAAATGTCACTTCTACTTTTAAAATTATAGGTTAATATCATTAAGCCCTTACCATATCCCTAGATAAGTGCATTACATGAGTATCTCTTTTAATTCTTTCATCCTTTTGAGGTTGGTTTAGTCCCATTTTACAAATCAGGAAAGTAAGGATGAGAGGGGTTAACTTGCCCGCTGTCATGTAACTAATAAGTGGCAGAGCTGAGACCCAAATGAAAGGCCTTATTCTTAACCACTGTCACGCACACTGGTTCTGAACTGTAGCAAAAGGGATAACGTACACGTTAGAGGCTCAGGTCAGAACTTGAAAGTTATTTCGAGGGAAAATGGAAGAAAGGAAAATGTGAATGAGGATTTCAGAAGAAGAAACTTGACAAAAGCAGGGGTGGTAGATGTAGAAGGAAAAGAGTTCAGACAAGGGTGACTGATGAGAGAGAGTGAAGTGGAATGTGTGACTCAGTCAGTGGGGAGGTTTCCTTTTGGCAACGGTACACTTGCTTTAAGCACAGAAAAGACAGTAGATTGCTGAAAAAATTGTCATAGCTTTAATGTAAGAGTCTAAAGAAAATTTTTTCCCATTCGGTTTGCTATTTATTATCTTTTTCCTTCCCAGTGTTTCTGGGTTAAGATGTTTCAGATGCCACTCCCTTATTCTCAGTTGATTCACATCTTAGGCATGTTTTCTGGATTACTATAGAGTAGTTTTAAATCTACCCTTGTTTTTATTAGTCTCCATGATTTGTTTACATCTTTTTTTGTATCAGGATGCTATTCTCTAGTTTAAAGTTGAGGTACTGGAAGAAATAGTTGTTTTAAATCTGGGTAATAAATTGGACTAATGGGAAGTTCCATTTGTTAGGTGTGGTGTCTCACTGCGTGAGATCAGCCTTCTTGAAAATTTTTCTACGAATACTACTTCCTCTTTTTTAACCAGAAATAAATAGATAGATATCGGTATACATTTTATTCCTTCGACAGATAGATATCGGTATACATTTTATTCCCTCTCTCTTAGGAGTCTCCCTCCCCTTTCTCTCTTATGAGGAAAGACTTTAAAGGCAGATAAAGTTTTTCTCCTGATGGAACTCACAATTCAGTATCTAATACAATAAGTGCCATAGTAAGAGCAAGAAAACAACTAAGGGAACATTAAATTCTGTGGTGCAGAGGACAGAGATCCAGTTAAGTTACAGAGAGATATCTGAGCTGATCCTTAAAGGCTTTATGACAGAACTAGGAAGGGCGTTCTAGACAGAGGAACAGCCGGAAGAAGGCAGAGAGCACCCAGGTCATCCAGTGAGTTGTAGCCTAAACAGGAGCAGACCCTCTAGAAAGTCTCTCTGTGGCTACTGGAGACAAATATGATTCAAGGTGATTGTTTAAAAGAGGAGTTACAGTCTTAACCTGCAGCTAGTGAGCTGCTAGTGTCACTATAATGCTAAGAAGGAAGGCTATGAAAAAAAATTCTGCGGAAGGGAAGCAAGGTTGAAGTCCAGCCAGGGTTTGAAAAACTGAATTACACCCCTGTAACTCTCCACCTTTGAGGAAACCTGCTATGAGGATCTCCACATAATGCAAATTGCTTTCATTCCTGAGCTCACCCCACTTGCTTGTATTCTGGCTGTTTTTCCCTCAATTTTTGATTGCTTTGTTATGCAGCTATCCATTGATCATTTTAGAAATAGATCACATTTATTAGACTTGTCTCTGTGCCAGCCACTCCATGCTCTTCATGTCCTCCCTCTCCTTCAACAGCTTTCTCTATCTTCTCTCATGGTTTTACTTTAATGGTCCTACTGACTTCTTTCTATGTCACATAGATCAGACGGTCACACAGCCACCCCCAGCTGCAGGGCAAGCTGGGAAAGTGCATATTTAGCTTTTTCGGCCTCCATAGTAGAGGCCACAAAGAAGGAACCCTTGGGTATTGTTATGTTTGCTACAGAAACCCTTTTCTTACTGCTCTACTTTGGTTATTTCTAGCCCCATTCATTTCTCCTTCTTCTTATCAATCGAACTCTTTCTCTCTAGAGAAACAAAAAATTCTTTAAGATTCTTCACTAATATACTTGACATATATATTGAAGTTTTATGAAAGAATAAATTACAGCTACAATTTTCAATTTTGGTTTATATAGACTAACGATTATCAAATATTACCTTCATAAAAGCACTTCTGCAGAGGGCATGTTTACCTTGTGGTTTGGTACATTCAGTTGCGTGATACTCTTCAGCATAGACATCATATGACAAAGTAGTATAGTCTTTTTTTGTACATTTCCTTTATTGCTATTTTAAGACGTTAATATTAGGAGTCAGATGGGAGTTGTTTCTTTTACCTAAACTGAAGCTTTCAGTTACAATAAGTTGTCCTCCGAATTTATAAAGCAGTAGAATCCTTTGATACAAGCAGTTGGAATAGTTCATTCATTCAGTAAATATTTATTAAGTACCTATTATGTGCTTGTGGGTATTGAGAGATGAAAGAGTTGATAGGGAATGATATTTGAGAACAGAATGCCTATGTTCGTGAAAATAGAAGCAATTAGTAGCCTTAATAAACAATCAAATATACGTAGATAGGTGGGTGGATGGGAGGTTGGATGAGTGGATGGATAGATGGGCAAACAGAGACAGACAGATACCTACTAAAAGTAAAAATAATGTTATGATTAGTAGTGTTTCCATATTATGTTGTCTAAAAGTATGTTAACTTTTTAAAAATTAAGGTTGACAAATTTGCAATGGAATTAGAACAGAGCCGGGATCTGAACAATACCATAGTACACATTGACATGGATGCTTTCTATGCAGCTGTAGAAATGAGAGACAATCCAGAATTGAAGGATAAACCCATTGCTGTAGGAACAAGGAGTATGTTGGTAAGTAGGTAAAGATCAATGACAAAAAGGAAATTTCATAACATATTCAATTAAGCCTTACTGGCTCATGAAGGAGGAAGCCTTTATTGAGTTCTACCAGTTTGTCGAGTGTTTTTCTGGGTGCTTTATATGTGTTCAATTACTGAATCCTTTCAACATCATTTGAAGTACAAATTATTTCCATTTACAGATAAGAAAGCAAATTCAGAGAGGTGTTTAATAACTTGCCCAGTTACAAACCTGGTAAATGGTAGAGTGGCATTGTATCTTTCTGTTGCAAATTATATTTTTCTTAAGTAACTGTTCTAGTTAAAGAGAATAGAAGAAAGGAAAGGAAATATTATTCTAAAGCAGAGGTTTGCAAACAATGGCCTGCAGGCCAAATCCAGCCTGCTGCCTTTTTTTGTAAATAAAAGTTTATTGGAACACAGTCACACGCATTCATTTATTGTTTTTGTTGCACTGAAAGCGGAGTTGAGTAAACGCAACAGATCTGCAAAGCCTAAAGCAATTACTGTCTGGACCTTGACAGACAAGGTTTGCCAGCCCCAGTTCTAGAGTAACATATTTCATTAATATAGTACTGTGACTAAGTAGTTTTTCCCATGACTTGGAACCTTTGCTTTTCTGATTACTATGTGGCTTTTCCTTATTGCCACCCTAACCATAGAAAGTAAAGATGACCAAGATAGCTGTATGTAGCTAAAAATGTGTTGCGAATTAAAAATAGCAACTGGAATAGATGGGTTTGGGTATTAAAAAAACATATAAGAGAAACAAGGAGAGTTTTTCCCTGTTCCTAACTCCTTCCAATGCCTTAGACAGCTATAAACCTAATTCCTACTAAGTTTTTATTTTATTATAAAACTATAATCTGTTTGTTCATTGTCTGTGTTCCCATGAGTTTGCCGGCAACTAACAATCTTGATTCCAAAACAGTGTTTATTGAAAGGATACTCTCCTTCCTACAAATCATCAACTAATATTTGAAAAAATATATTTGGTTATTGTTTCCAAATTCAAAATGATTATTTGCTATATTTAAACAAAGATTGCTCTTTTTGTATGCTTAACTAATAGATTTCCCTTCTAGTAAGATTTGAAGCATAGTTGTTTTTGTCCTATTAAACTCATAAAAGTGTAGTAGTGTTGCATGTTTGATTATTCCAGTCTGTTAACACTTAGAATTCTTGTTTGAATAATTCGATGGATCCTTGAAATGTTCTAAGTTAGCACTCATAGTTAAAACTTAGACCCCGTAGCAGCTATTTATTGCTGCATAACAAACCCCTTCAGTACTTAGTGGACAACCATTTATTTGCTCATGATTCTGTAATCTGAGCAGAGTACAGGGGATGGCTCATCTCCACTCTGCTTGGGGTTGGCTACAGCTATTTAGCTGCGGCTGGAGGATCCAAAATGGCTTCACTAACATGCCTGTCACTTCGACTGAGGTGGCTGGAATGGCTTCCAGCTGGTGAGCTTTCCCCTCTCCGCATAGTGCATCATCATTTAGTAATCTAACCCAAGATCTTTACGAAGTTGCCAGATCCCAAAAAGCAAAGGCAGAAGCTACAGACTTTTTAATGCCTAGGCTTCAGGACTCACATGTCACTCCCTCACATTCTTTTGATCAAAGCAAGTCACAATGCAGGTCACTTGGCATGAGGAACTAGAACCCACCTTTTGAAAGGAAGAACTTTAAAGTATTGTGGCTGTGATTTACAGTCTACCACAAACCTAAAAGGTAAAGGAAGTCAGATCTAAAATTTTATTTCAGCTCTACTATAGATCTAGCTTTTATATCAGTTCCATTAGACTTATTTATATTTAAAGCATTGGTTTGTCTTTCTAGTGCTATTTCCATTTTCTGTTCCAGAATACTGACCAAGGATTAGCATAGTTTTGAGTACTATCAAGACTTTTTAAATGCCATTTGAAAACCATTAATGGCAAATTGATATTATTGTTCTGAAGTAACCCCTTCATTTGATAGATTCTGTTTTGTATTTCTTTGAATTTTCACTGAGATTCCAAAGATTCCATTTGTGATAAAATTTATTATAAATGGTAAATGGTACTGTGGTCCGCTACATTAACATAGACTGTTGTCAGCTATCATCGTCAACAGGATTTAATAAGGAATGTTCTCCTTTTCACTCTTATAGTTTTTTAGCTGCATCTCCTAAAGTCAAAATGTTTTCACCAAAAAGGATATTCAAACCTTAAGAAATAAAACTTATTTTTAAAAGTTCTTTTAAGCTTTAATCACTTCATTTTGGAGACTAGATTTGACTAACCATATATTAGACCTTTGATTTTTGTTCTAGATGAAAGATTTCCAAAATCCCAAATAGAGCAATTCCAAATCTATAATATTGCTTTCTATACTGTTACTTTCATGTAACATCTATACTATTTGTACTATAATATTACTTTATAGCTACACTTTACTATTACTATACTAATGCTTTTATGTAACATCACCCACTGTCATCCAAACTTTGTTATATACTATATTACAAGTATGCCTTAAAACCAATGAGTATGATCTCACTCATTAAGTTGTAGATAATAACAACAACAAACAAACACATAGAGACAGAGATTGGATTGGTGGTTACCAGAAGGGAAGGGGGGAGGGAGGAGGGCGAAAGGGATAATTCGGCACATGTGTGTGGTGATGGGTTGTAATTAGTATTTGGGTGGTGAACGTGATGTAATCTATGCAGAAATAGAAGTATAATGATATACACCTGAAATTTATACAGTATGGGGCCGGCCCCGTGGCTTGGTGGTTAAGTGCACGCGCTCTGATGCTGGTGGCCTGGGTTCGGATTCCGGGTGCGCACCGAGGCACCACTTCTCCGTCCATCCTGAGGCCGAGTCCCACATACAGCAACTAGAAGGATGTGCAGCTATGACATACAACTATCTACTGGGGCTTTGGGGGGAAAAAATAAATAAATAAAAAAATCTTTAAAAAAAAAAAAAAAAGAAATTTATACAGTGTTATAAACCAATGTTACTGCAATAAACAAAAAATTTAAAAAAAAAATGAAGTTTAGTTACTGGAAATGTAAGAGAAATTTTTTTATTAGCACAGTCTTGCTTATTATTTGGTGTCCCATTATAAATATGGAGACAGCAGTGGGAGAAAGTCGTGGTATCATAATACCATGATAGGGTAAAGTCAAAGCTTGATTTGAGACAGTGACCTATAAAAGAAATTCCCTTGAATTGAATGTGCACATCAGTAATGTGTTTCTTATGAATGCATTGATCAATATTTCCATTTAGGTTTGTATATTTTTTCCCATGTGGTCCATTTTCTTTCAGTCTACTTCAAATTACCATGCAAGAAGGTTTGGTGTTCGTGCGGCCATGCCAGGATTTATTGCTAAAAGACTCTGCCCACAACTTATTATAGTGCCCCCAAACTTTGATAAATACCGAGCTGTGAGTCAAGAGGTAAGTCTGATGTCTCTCACCCCTGCTGTAGCCCTTCACTCATTTCCTGTCACCTACAGAGTCAAGTCCAAACGCCATAGCACATCAGAATTTGGCCTTAGCTTATCCCTTTAGTCTCACCTCCTACCACTTCTTCAGCTTGTATATTGAGTACTGAGCTGCATATGGTATCCAGAATATACCCTTCTATTTCCCAATTCTTTGCCTTTCCACATGTTTTTTCCAACTGCTTAGAAAACACTTATCTCCCCAGAAAACTTTGCATTACCTAAATTATAATCTAAATTAACTTTAGCTATTTTTTCTTTATATACAATATTCGTTTTCTTCTAGAATCACCTTATATTTCTAATTTACAGAATCTACTCATTATTTTCAACGTCTTTTCTAAATAAATTTTTTATTAATGTTTTTAAACAGTAACAAAATTCACTTATTTTGATTAGCTGCTTTCCTTGCCCTACATCCTAGTGAGGATGCTTATGAGCATTGAATGTCTAGGAGACTGATAATCAAAGAAAAAAGGGAATAATCTATTACTTTGAAAAGGATCTCTGAAGTATGAAGATTTGATTATTCACTAAAATTGCCTGAACTGTCATATGTGAAAAACCGCCATTTTCTCTATTTTTGATAACAACTGGACTATCATGCGAGTGCTAAAACTTAAGTCATAAAGTAAAATTTTAGAAAGCTACATCAAACACTTTTAGACTACTGTGGTAAAATGCAGTGTGTTAAAGACTACTGTTTGAATTGAAACGCTTAAAAAGTGATGGGCTAGGGGCTGGCCCAGTGGCGTAGCAGTTAAGTGCGCATGCTCCGCTGTGGCAGCCCGGGGTTCACGGGTTCGAATCCCGGGCATGCACTGCCGCACCGCTTGTCAGGCCATGCTGTGGCGGCATCCCATATAAAGTGGAGGAAGATGGGCATGGATGTTAGCCCAGGGCCAGTCTTCCTCGGCAAAAAGAGGAGGATTGGTATTGGATGTTAGCTCAGGGCTGATCTTCCTCACACACAAAAAAAACGATGGGCTAGCGCCTATTACTATTTAGTCATGCAGATGATCTTAGATTTGCTACTCTTGTTTGTATTCTACCTCATTTCCCCTAGAAATGAACCCCCCCAGATTAAAATGATACTCCACCCCAAATTTTTAAAAAAATTGTTTTTCATTCTTTCAAAAATAGTCTGAAGAGGTGGGGGGCTGAAGGAGAAGCACGTTCACATTTGGTTATGGCTTGTGTCTTGTACTGTATTCCTAATTAGAAAGAGAGAAAATGCTAACCACAAATATTATAGGTTTTAAATAAGTCTGAAAATCTTTCAAGATTTTGTGAGAAAGAATTTTTTAAGTCCTACTCTAACTCAGTAAAAGTTCTGACAGTATGACAATGAGACCTAAATTGTTTTTAGTTATCTTTAGTCTAGTTATTTACATACATTGGAGAAATCTTCAAATTTGAGCAGGATCTAACTAGTTTATTTGCAGATAACAAATGAGTTCTTACGTGTAAATGAACTACACACATTCACTGACTATAAAAACATTAATCTTTATGGGTTGGTTTAAAAGTTTAAGGAAAAGCCATTTTTGTTTTATTCAAAAGACTGGAATAGCTTTAACTGCTCTCAAAGCCTAAGTGCTTGATTTTTACTGGAACATGTCTATTTTCGTTCTTAAAGCAGTATCGTATGTAAAGGAAATTAGTGAGTACTCAATGTCTCTTAGGAATACTTCTCATTCAGAATAGTCTTAGTTGGCTGCCAACCACAGAGTTTCATTTTCACTAGAAAGATTCCATTTGAGTACATTATAAAAATGGTTTCTTCTACAAGAACAAAGCTAATTAAGGTACACTCTGAGTAAAGCTTGGCAAAGTTTTATGTCACCATTTTCTAAAATTACCTTTGACTCAACTGTTCATAATTATATTAAACTAAAAAGCTTTCTTTTTATAAAATATAAAATAAGGTTTTCTCATGACACAGCAGACAGCTTTTAAATACTGGATGAAACATAATTCAGCAAATATGTTTTTCTAATATACATATTTTGACAGTCATTTCCTCTGATTTCAGCTAACTTCAGTGGTCAAAAAAAAATTCATAATTTCATGTAATAAAACTATCTTATATAAAAGGCGTTTGTAGGGGCCGGCCCCGTGGCTTAGCGGTTAAGTGCGCGTGCTCCGCTACTGGCAGCCCGGGTTCGGATCCTCAGCCATGCTGAGGCAGCGTCCCACATACAGCAACTAGAAGGATGTGCAACTATGACATACAACTATCTACTGGGGCTTTGGGGAGAAAAAGGGGGAAAAAAAGGAGAAGGATTGACAATAGATGTTAGCTCAGGGCCGGTCTTCTTCAGCAAAAAGAGGAGGATTGGCATGGATGTTAGCTCAGGGCTGATCTTCCTCACACACACACATACACACAAGGCGTTTGTAGAATCATACAGAGATTCTGATCTCTTTAATTATTTCTTTTATCCCAAGATGCAACTCCAGACTTTTCCCCATCATTTAATATAGTCACGCACATATGCTACAGATTTTGTCATTTTTTTCCATTCTAAATCCTCATAGTTGAGCTTTGTTTTCCTGAAGGGATGCATGCACTAATGTGTGTATTAAGTGGAGTTTTATCTGTATATTACAATTAATTGAAATAGAACTACTTTCTAAAGCAATGTAATACCTTTATGTAAGATTATTCCTTTTTAAAATGAGCAAAAACCATCATAAAGGGTGAGAGGGAGCAAGATCCTATTGTTTCCACTTCTGCTTTTGACCAGCTACCTAAAATTATGTTGCTTAACCATTTTTTCTGTACCTACCGGAATAATGTTGTCTGAGATTTATTTGAATCACTTACTATATCTAGATAAGAGGTGGCTAAATAGAGATTGTATCAAATGAAGCTATTTCATGGTCTTCTGCCTTCATGATCTATTTTAATACAAAAGAGAATTTGGACAACTTGCCCTGGCAGTAAATTATTTATTCCCTAAATCCATGAGCTATTGATTGCAGGATCATTACTACAGTGGCAAAGTAAGAATATTAATGTTTCTTATCAGCTGTATATGACAGGTTTTGTTGTGGCAGCAAAATTTAAACCATTTTGTTCCTTTTGAAGGTCAAGGAAATACTTGCTGATTATGATCCCAATTTTATGGCCATGAGTCTTGACGAAGCCTACTTGAATATAACAAAGCACTTACAAGAAAGAGAAAATTGGCCTGAGGACAAAAGAAAGTATTTCATCAAAACAGGGAGCTCTCTAGAAAATGGTAAGCAATTATTAGAACAATCAAACTAAAAAACAAAAAAACCTTTAAATTAAGTCAGTTAACTCACTGGCATGCATAGGTGGTAGGACAAGATGTATCTTTATTATGAAAAATTATTAAAAATGGAAAATCAGAAACTTAAAAGATACCAGTGGGTTTTCTGAGTGAAATGTGTGGGATGTGACTTTTAAACCGAATCAGATTATTAAATCTCTAGACTTTAAGAGACTGCAGAGTGCCTGAATAAAGTCAGTTCACAGCAGTTCTTTTCCTACAATCTAGCTAACAAAGGGTCGGATTGCATTGAATCTGAGGAGGTTATCTATTTAAAGTGGCCTTTTGTTGTAGTTGTTAATAGAGAATAGGTTTTTAAAAAATAAGCCTCAAACATAATCAATGTTGGGTGGGGTTTTTTTCTTCATTTCCCAAATTTTCTATAATCTGGTTATACAGTGATTATGACTGTTTTCAACCTTGCCAAAATTAATGACTGCCCAACTCCCTTCTTTGCCTTAGACCTTATTTTGATTCTTTTATATAAAATGAAACAGAAGTTTCATGACATCAAAGGTTTTTTCAAATGGTCCCTTTATTACCTATCCAAAACAATGCCACGAAACATGCAGATAGTACACATACTGCTGTCAGCCCTCTATCAAAGGTATGATTACTGCAAATGTCTGAGCTGTCCTGGACCCCTGATCAAAGTTCATCTGGATGAAAAGGTAGAAACACGGGGTTTGCTCACAACCCGCAGCCACGTTTCATATGCACAGCCCATTGCCTGGACAGGCACTGTTAGGGAAACCTGTTTGTAACTTTCCCTGAAGCAAAAATGGTGGATCCTCAATGGCATAAAATTCCAACTCTAACATCGTTTGGGGCTCATATCTTTGGAGCAAATTTAATGTGGACATCAAGTCAGAACTTCTTTACGTTTCATTCAACAGTTTCATTCAACAGTAAACAAGCATAACTTCTGAGCACAGAGGCTTGGAGCGAAAGAGTTTCTTTCCTTAGTATACCTTTATTGTTTGGGGAAGTGGCACACAAAGCCTGATGTCACTTTGCTTAAAATCTCACTTTGTTAGTTCCTTACTTTTCATAAGAGAAGGGGTGGGGGGACCATTAAATGGTTATATCAAAGCATCCCCTGAGGGCGTCCTGTAACAATTACTTTCACAATGTGTTTTTTAAAAATTACATTGGGACTAAGGTAAATGATTTCATTCTCTACATTTGTTATACGTCCAAACTCATTTATAAGGATGTAAATTTTTAGTATCTATTGCTTTTAACATATTTCTTTATGTACCTTCCTCTTCATGTATTTCATATTCTTAAGCTATTTAAGTAGTGTAACTTTTTTCCTCATGTGTAAATCCTTGTGGGCGGGCCTTGTAGACATTTCTGATTTCACATTATGCTGTGGGAGCTGCCAACAGTGCGTTGGAGCCAGGGCAGGTGATTGAGATAGCTTCCTCTAAAGTCCAAGATGTTTTTCTGCTGTTTGCCCCTTTTCTAAAAGGTGCAGTCTTTGGAAAAGTATTGCTAACTGCTATGTCTATATACAAATAAAGTGATAATTATTATTTTTTGTTTATTCTGCCATATAAATTTGGATGGTGAGTGCCAGGCAATGTAAAAAACTGAAATACTTTAGACATTTTAGCACTTGCCATCCAGATGCGATATTCTAATCCTAGTGTTTCAGAATATAAAAAACTGTAGTTTTGTACTCTGATCACCTCAGTTATGGGAATTATAAAGATATTTCTTTCAGCAAGCAAGTAAGAAACCACGTCAACAGTTAGTGACATAGCCAGGCCTCACAGAGAAGTAGACATTGAAAAGGTGACTACACCGTTCAGCAGCAGCTCTAACAATGCCCCTGAAGGCAGCATACTTTGCCTCCTAGTGCAGTGTTCTACTCTCAGTGACTCCCCTGAGGGTAGGGTGATAAAGGCATGAGATATGTAAACCTGGCATAAGGAACTCCGCAGAAGGAGCTTATGAACGTGACACTTGATCTGCTCTGCAGCTCTCTTTACCTTGACTTCTACCCATCCAGATGGGGAAAAAGGGGGTCCTGGTAGATACCATTTCAACTGTGCCAGTCTTAATCCCTTCTGAATTGCTTTGCACTTTAAAACCAGAATATGGAAAATGAAAGGAACTGAAGAACATAAATAACAGCAAATGTAAGTTTGAAAATAAGGCTTATTTTATATGTGACCTGGGAATTCAGATTTGGAAAACATCTGTCTGTGACTTAATTCATATTATATACTTTAAAATTTGAAACTAATCAGGTATTTGTCATATTATGTATATTATCTTTAGAAAATCATCCTAAAAGGCCAAGTTCATTTTTTAAGTAATATGCATTCATATGTGTCTTGAAACTAGAAATTTAATTTTTGCTTCTGCATTTACCTTAATTTGGAAAACATATGTAATAAAATTATGAAATGGGATTAGAAAGCTCTATTGTTAATCTTAGTTGTTATAAATACATTTAAACTGCATTTCTGGTCCAGCCCGGTGGTGCAAGTGGTTAAGTGTGCGTGCTCCGCTGCGGCAGCCTGGGGTTCGCCGGTTCGGATCCCGGGTGCGCACCAACGCACTGCTTGGCAAGCATGCTGTGGTGGTGTCCCATATAAAGTGGAGGAAGATGGGCACGGATGTTAGCCCAGGGCCAGTCTTCCTCAGCAAAGAAAAGAGGAGGATTGGCAGATGTTAGCACA